GGTGGCGCCATCGAGAAGACGCTCACGGCCGCGACCGACCACCTCACCAGCCTCCAGCAGCAGGTTTAGTCTGAAGGGGAGTGTGTCCAACAGCTGGTCACAGACTTGGGCCAGGCCGAGAGCGACAACAAGCAGGTCCTCGCAGAGGAGTGCACGACCACACTTGGCGCCAAGCTACCCAGCCCACGGTGTACGAATACTGGGTCCCAGCTCAACTTGCGCGCCTTCGTGGACGGCGCCGCAGAAGGGCTCACGATCGACGACGATGGCATGTTTGATCCTGGCGATGACTACGAGCTTAGCGCGGATGTGGAAGCGCAAATAATCACTCCGAACCAACCTCCAGGAGATGGCCGCCAAGCTCTTCGCAGAAGCTAAGTCCAAATGTGATGCGACCAGAGCGGAGGTGGAGACCAAGAAGAAGCGCCTTGCATCCAAACGCCAGCGGGCCGACGCTGCTCCTCCTCGTGATGGGCGCGCTGCGCATGCTGGTACTGGACCCGCCGCTGCTGAAGTATCACCTTCCCAGGCCCGCGCCACGACCCCCAGGGCGCAGTCGCCTGCCGCCCCTGCCGATGAGGCCAAGGCCACCAGCGCCAAGGACAAGGCAGCCGCCGCCCTGGCCGCCGAGAGGGTTAAGGGCGTGGGTACGGGGCCTAGTGGTGGCAAGGCAAAGAGTGCTGCCCCGTCAGGTGGGTAACCCACAGATCACGGACGTGCTCTCAGGCGTGCTGATACCGACTCCGAGGAGTGTGCGTTTTGACACGACGCCTGGGGTTCAACACTACATCATCGGGGATAAGCTTAGTGCCAATGCGACGCAGGGAATGATGCAGGGGAAGGCATCCGCGCACAGCATTGGCAACACAGACTTTCTTGGCACAACTACGCCGTCCACGGCAACTCCTCCGTCAACCTGGGAGCCTCTGCGAAGCCAGACACCCAGTACAGCGTTGAGCTCCACAACGCCCTGGGAGCCGTTGGGAAGCCAGGGGTCCAGAAGGTCTTTTTCGGGTGCCCCCTCGGCGACCCAGACGTCACAAGGGTCTCAGAGATTAACCTGAAACACCGCCGCGGGGCCCGAGCATGTCATGGCAGGGTCACCCCTGCACGTGAGAACACTGACGAGCGGGTCTGCCCCAGGTCCGCCTGGGCGCACACGTGGTGCTCAGTCCCCCTCACGTGCAGTGACCAATCCCAAGCCCTCCGACGGGAGGATTGCGCCGCAAGGTCCCTGGCGTGGGGCTGGTGGGGATGCTGCCATGGGGTGTGAGGTCCCGTGGGCGATCAAATGGCAGGACCATGCGTCGACTGGGTCTACTCTCTCAGGGACCCAGATCTGCAGTGGAACGTGTTCAGGTACTCCACTAGGAACCCAGATGTCCAGAATGATCTAGCCACCAACGCCGTCTCCTACTACAGCAGCCGCCGCGGGTGCATCCCACAACTCGCCAGATAATGCTTCAGCAGATACTGGGCGAAGGCAGAGCAACATGGACGACGAGTTTTACCCCATGGATTACCTGGACAAGGAGCCCGATTTCAGCCACGAAGCCGCCGACTACCACCCCGTGAGCGAGAGCCCCGAGGACTACCTCCTGGGCCTCTCGTCGCCACAGAGGGCCGACGCCACTAGTGAGAGCTCGCCGCAGGACCCTGCCCCTCGGACTGCCTCACGCGACGGCCCTCGCTGCGGCGTGGGAACTCGAGAGGCTGATGAGCACGGGAAGCGCCTACACCGGTACCACAGCCATGCTGCAGATGACATACTTTGCTATTTCGCGAGCTACACGAAGTGGGCGGATGTGGGCTTCGACTACGTCAACACGCTGCGGGAGGCAGGCTATCACATTCCGTTGGGGGCCGAGACTCCTCTTCGAGGCGAGCAGCAGCATGCGACGACTCGGAAGCTTGACAAGCACCACTGGGAGGTCGAGGCCCGCCCTGCCAACGTCACTCGGGCCCAAGGGGACCTCGGACGAGGTGGAAATGGGTCGCGGCTGGCGCACACCTGAGCACGAGAGCCATCCGCCTGCAGCGGGCAGAGTGGTCCCAGCCAGCCGTGGGCCAGGGAATGCGGGCAGCACGAGAGGTGCGCCTACGCAATACTACAGTCCTCTTCATCTCCGCCACTTCGCTTTCGGGGAGGGCCTCGCGGGGGGCAATATGCAGATGCTCGAGGAAATGGCTTGTGAAATCCAGGCCTCCAAGGTCCCATTCATCATCACGGCCGATTGGAACATGAAAGCCTCGAAAATCAGACAGTCGGGGATCGAATACTACCTCGACGCGCGTTTCGTTTTTTCCCGAAGGGCCTGCAAGGGAGTTCGGGAAGAGGGTGATCGACTTCGGGCTCGTCTCCTCCCACCTCGTTCCCGACCTCACTCTTCAGTGCGGCCTGGAGGGCCCGTGGGCAGCACCGCATGTAAGGATCAAATGCCGCCTTGCAGGAACGTTCAGGAAACGGGAGATCCAAGTACTCGCGAAACCGGCCAGACTC